AGAATGGTCCCCCAAAACCCAGGGAGAGAGGGCCTCAAAACAGAGAGCACCGCCAGCCGCACCAGCAGCTGAGATGCGAGGACCAACCTGAGCCCATGGTGGAGCATCAGGACATGGGGGAGGGGTCACTGTTGGTGGCAGGGGGTGGGTCAGGGCCACGCTGTGGCTGGGGGAGCACAGGGAGAGTGAGATGGGGGAGGAGACCACCCCTCCCAGACAGCTGCTCTGAGTGGAAGAAAGGGTGGTCACTGGGAAAGGTGGCAGTCCTGAGGTGTTCACCAGGGGAGGCTCCACATGCTAAATATGAAAAGAAGGAGCAGGTGTGTGGAGGGGGACCGAAGGTGGGAAAGACGCGGCCTGAGGCCCCGAGACCCGGGCTGGCCTGAGATGCCTGGGCTGGACACAGGCCCCTGTGCCAGTCACCCTGTGCTGCGTCTAGCTGGCATCTCTTGGCTGGACATCCGTCTCCCTCATTGGCCTGTGGGCTCTGAGGACGAGGGACAGCACTTCATTTGGTCTTTTGTCCCTAGCCCTTGGCGTAGCCCAGGAGGGTCCTGAGGGGCTGAAGTGAGGTGCCACTTGTGGTAGGAAGTTCTCATCAGTCTTCCCCGAAGGACACAAAAGTCCCCCATCCTTTCTGGGGACCCTTGCAATCCAAGACCCTCCCTCCCCCAGCAGATTCCTGAAACTGCAGCACACACTCTGCATATTCCTGTGCAGACACCGCGACGAGAGTCCGTCAGTCTGCACAGTGAAGCGCGGCTACAACGGGCAGGTGGGAAACACGGCAGCCCCCGCAGCACGCTGCAGTGACGTGTGGGGAGTATGGTCTCCTTCAGCTGACATGGACTGGGTAGCACACCCGGGGGGACAAAGGGGTGACTCACATCCCAGCAGGATGTGCCCAGGGGGCAGGAATTTCATCATGCTGTCTGGAGCAGCAGTTGAAAATGTAAGATTTGTTTATCTCTGGAATTTTCCACGAACACTTTCGGACTGCAGTTGACTCAGGTGACTGAAAGAAACTACAGGAAGCGAAACTGTGATACGGGCACGAATCAGACCAGACGCCCTGGACACTTCAGGAGCTGGCAAGCAACCTGAAGCCGGGCTTCTTGAACTGTCTCATAAAACGAGGGCCGTAGTGTGGCTGTCACAGGGCAGGTGATAGGCTCGTGCCTGGCAGGCAGGTCTAGTGGACAAGTCACCCTGAACAGAGGACACCCAGAGCAGGCAAGTCAGGGGCTGCTAAAAGACGGATTCTCTGTCCTCGCTGTCCCCCTGGGTCCCCCGGGGAAGACCACAGCAGCACTGGGAATGGAGCTGCCTCTCATTGCCCTTGGCACTGGGATGCCAGGTGGCTTCTCGGCACGCGCTAAGAGTGAGTGAGGGGTCTAACCCTCCCCACCAGTCGCTCTTGAATGCAGGACAGCTATGGAAACTAACTTGTTCAGAGCGACAATTATGGTGCATTCGAAATCTTCATCGGCACTGGCAAAGGAAGCAAAAAAATGTCTTTGAGTGTTTGTAAGGCAGGCAACATGGAAAGCAGATTCAGGACTAAAAGGCATTGTGAAAGCAAATAAGTTAATATTTCTATGAAATGTGTTAGAGGTCTGTGGTGACCAGCATCTATTGGACTTCACCGGGACTCTGCTCGGGGCCCGGGGCTCGGCGTGGACAATGACAACAACAGAGCACAGGACTGGCCTTCCAGGGCTGGACACCGAGCATAGACCTAGCCTGAAGTCAAGTCTCACCAGGCTGCTTACAGGGACAGGGGCTCTCGAGGTTCTAGCCAACAGGATCTGAAAGAGCACATCAAGGTCCACTTAAGAGTGGGTGGTAATCATGACTTACAATCAATCACTAATAGCCAATGAATCCCAGAGGGAGCGTCTTTGCTCAAAGCTAGATGAGGGGACGTGACTTTGGACAGAGACAATGTGGGGTCCTCTCCTTCCTGTCCTGGCTTTGTCTTTGTGGACTTCCATGCTCCATTGGGCTACAGAGAGAGATGTCTGGGCTCACAGGGGAGGTCTGAGTCCAACCAGGCCACTCACGCACTTGGCCTCGGGAATGCCTGTGGCCGCCATCCAGATGAGCTCTGCATCCCTCTGCTCACACCCTGGAGACCCAGGCAGAGAGAGGGGACGGTTGCTCCTAATGCCAGCACGAGGCAGGAGATCCCTGCTGTTGGATTCTTTAAGATCCCTGCCCTTGGATTCCTGCAGATTCAACTCCTCCACCTCTTTCTTTCTTTCTTCCTTCCTTCCTTCCTTCCTTCCTTCCTTCCTTTCTTTCTTTCTTTTTAACTTACAGAGGTTTTGACCTCTGGAAATAAATGAGCCAGGGTGCCAGGCATGGGCTCTGTAAGACCAGGTGCTGATCCAAGAAGCCTGGGAAACAGCGACCCAGAGTGGGAGAAACCAGCAGGGGGTCTGGGAGAGGAAGGCGGGAGAGAGGCATTGCGGATTCCTAGGGAGGAGCCAGTGCGCCGGTGACCTGGCGTCCCTGGTCTGGAGGCCACTGTGGCTGCCGAGAAGCGGAATGGCAGCAGTGTGGGCCTGGGTGCAGGGGCAGGGTGGCTGAGAAAACACACACCAACAACACACAGAGAGGAAGGAGCTGACCGCGGGACGGCTTCACCAGGGCAGGGCTGGGCCAGAGGAAGCTGAGCTGTGGACACAGGCCTTCCAGCAGAGAAGCCCTGGGGGCTCCTTCCGGCACTTTCTGTCTCAGTGGAGACTCCAGGCTGAGGGGACCAGGGGCGGTGGGACTGGCTTTCCCTGGGCACAGCAGCCCGTGTTCCCAGTCCTCGCCGTCCCCTGCAGCCCGTCTGTGCAGGAGAAGACCTGTCGCGTGGCTGGCCCTGGTTGCCCACCTCTAAAGCCGTCAGACTATTTATAGCATGGCTGTCTTCCGTGTTCCTGCCCAATGGTCATCAGGTCCTTCAGTATGAAGCTAAACAAACCCTCTTTGCTATTCCCTTGATTGCTCCTCCTCTGTTCTCTGTTCTCTTCTGAGCTTTTTATATAACAACTTGCCGCTGTTAGGGAGGACTGGACTTAGCAACAGACAACTGTCGCCCGTGGTTACTCCAACACAGAGCAGCGGTCAGCCCGACCTCAACCCAAGACACCACCCTCTGATGAGGATTGTCACCTGGACTGAAATCCTGAGGCACACCTTGTTGGATGTGGAGCAGTGACCATCACAAAGAATGGAGGGGTGACCACAGGATGCCCCCCCAATGGTCCCCTAGCAATGGCCTGACCACAACACTCCTCCGCCCCTCACTGCCCTGTAGCTCCCCTAAGCTGTAAGTGGACAATGGCTCCAACCTCCATGTGGCCCCTTCTGCGGGCCAGCCTGGACTGAGCCTGTCCTGCTGAGCCGCCCTCTCTGTCTCCTTCCCCCGACTCCGTCCTTACAGCCACCACGGGCCCCTCTTTCTGAACCTCTACGTCCTGCTCCCTCGCTCTGCCTCTGCTGCCTTCTACGTCACAGGTCCCGGCTTTGGTTTTGGTGTGGTGACGGCTGCCGGAGGCTTCCGGGTGCTGTGCTCAGCTCTGGAACTCAAGACTTTATTCCAAGAGTCGTTTGTGGTCCTCCTCCTCCCCCTTTCTCGTTGTACCTTCCTGAAGGTCACCCTGTCCTCTGAGATTCACAGAAGATATTTAATTCTAGGTCCTGATAGGAAAGTCAGCGCCTCCTCTTGTTTGCTGTTACTTTGAGCTTTTCGACTTCTGGTCCCTGTGGGTCTAGTTTTCTTCGGCTGGTGATGTCCTGATCACCATATGGAATGTCCAGCCCAGGTGTGGAACCCCTCCTGGCTGTGTGTCCCCCAGGTGGTGTCCATGCCGTTCACCTTGGGGGTGCACTTTGCTGAAGCCTTAGCTGGGGAGGGGGCTTCACAACCGCAGAGTGCAGAGCTGTACTTAAAGGCCTTGGCCTCTGCCTGGGCGCCTCTGCCCTCCTCCTGCCCTCCCCTGGGCGCTGGCAGAACTCCCTTCATCTGACTCCAGGACCCTCTTTGTTTCTCTGTGGATGCTCTAGGTCTAAAACGTCTTGCCACACCTCTTCTCTCCTTAAGAGAACTCAGGCTTCTGCTAATAAATTTTTAATGTCCTGATGCACCAATTTAAAAAATTTTGGAAGTTCCTCCTTATTTCCTTTACCAAGTCCTCGGGGTGAGACATCTTTGCTCTGGTGATTCAACTTGGTGCTACAGCTGGTAGCTGATTTTCCTCACGTATCTATTCTTTCTCATACATAAGCAAAAAACAGACTGCTCCTGTTTCTCGAGAGTCAGCTGCTCCTCGGTACTGGAACCTGGTGTGGGTTCCCTACAAGCAGCTGTCCGGGTCAGGGTTCAGTTCTTCTTTCTGGTGACTTCCTATGTCTTTTCTTAAGTGGGGCTTATGTGGAGTTTATTGACTGTGTAATAAGCGTGGCACTTCCAGCAGTAAAATGTGGAGTGCCGGGAGTGTCCCAGGAGGTGCTACCCACTGATCTTCTCTCAGAGGCTCACATGCAAGAGCACAAGACAGACTCGTCACCCTCTGCCCTTGTTTACCTTTCCGGGTTCACTTTTGTGATGCACCTTTGGGTGCCAGTTCACTTAGTCTCTCTATTTTTTTGATTGCATTACGGCCAATACACCAATCACAAAATTCATGGTTAGCATATAGTTATATAATGCCCAGTTAACTAATTGTACCCTAAAAAATCTCTGCAAAATGCCAGGTGCAAAAAGCTTGTGGTATTGTAATGTGAACTCTTGCACTAGCTTCCAGGAGTGTAAATGAGTACCACCCCTTTGGAAAATTGGTTGATCATACCTGTAAAAACTAAAGATTCAGATGCAAATTGACCCAGAAATCCTTCCCCTGGGTGTAGCTCAAACACAAATGAGTGGGCATGTCCATGAATGGTCATCATACACCTAATCATAACTGCTAAAAACAGGCAACAACCCCAAATATCTAACAATAGTGGAAAAAGGAAAAGAAAATGTCGTATATTTATAAAACAGTACTGCACAGCGGTGTATACCAAGGCAAGCGGGTCCCTCGGTCAGAATGTTGGGAAGAACACTGTAGGGGCCAGGTGTGGCCTGGAGGAGTTGTTCCCATGGGCCCCTTTCTTCCTCCTCCTCCTCGATGACTTCTCTCCAACCTGAAGAGTGGGGTTGCCACCGTCCTCTTGCTTCTTGCTGGAAATCTGGCTGCAAGCTGTTTTCTACATAGCATTTTAAGCATTGTGGTGAAAACAAGCCCAAAGTCACATTTCTGGTGCTAAATATAATTCGAGAGACAGTCTAATTAATCTAATCAGAGATTACAATCTAGAGACTTACAATCTAATTAGGAGCCTGAAATCTCATTAGAAACAAGAAAACACAAATGAAATACTTAGAGAACTTAGTATTACTTAGTCTTTTTTAAAAAGGTCCACGTTCAGAGGTGCAGTTTCCCCCAGACATTCGGGAGAAAGAATCAACGAGAAATGGAGTGGTGACTGCATTCCCGGAGACAGAGAGGTTCTGAAAGTCCACATGCAGACCAGATTCCAGAGGGCTGCTTCCTGGGGCACTTGCTGAGAGTCGCGTAGGGACAGCCTTTCCAGAGCCAAAGTGGGGTTAGCCAGGAGACAGGATGTCCATCAACTGGGGGATAAACCATGAGGAACTGCAGCCCCCTCAGGAGAGCCAGGCTTGAACTCCAAGCTCCCACCAGCCTGAGCCCTGGCAGCCAGGAAAACCCACAGTCAGAAGAGTGTAGGGGTCAGGAAACCCGAGGCCAGAACCCAGCTACATGCCAGAGACTGGGACCCTTCCCTTATAATGAAGCACTTAGGATTCCTGCATTTAAAAATGTGGTCCGACCGGCTGACCCTCAGAAGAGCTCATGGAGTATGGGGGGGGGAGGGCGTGGATCAAGGTCTCCCGAGTGCTTTCTCCTCTTAGATCACATTTATGTCACACACACACTCTTCCTGGCTCCCGTGTTGGCAAGGAATTCAGAATGTATCTAAACTTGCCAGGCGCGGGTGGGTGGAGCAGGGAGGGGAATAGAGGGGTTGGCAGATCCCTGAAGACAACTAGCACTCCCTGCAGAGAGGTTCCAGCCACGGGAGTCGGATCCCTTTGCTGTGCTCTCAACTCCTGCACTTCTGCAATCGCTCTTGAAACGGCTCTCTGGCTGCAAGAAAATCCTATCAGATGTGTTACCAAGCAAATTGAAGTTTCCAGTCCCTCCAGGCCAGTGTGGCAAGCATCTTCTACTCTCCCTGGGAGCTGCTTTGTGCTTTTGGCACTTTCCTACCTGGGATGGAGCAGAGGTATGGTTTATAACCTTCCGCACTGAAATTAGGGTGTGCATTTGTAGTAGTTCGTCTTTGCTTTGGTGACTGGGTATAAGAACAGAGAGCTCTTGGTGGGAGGTGGAGGGGTTTGATGCGAAGGCGGTTTTTAAACGTAGGGTCTTTGAGCATCTCTGATCTGTAGCTCACCCAGCTGCCTGGCCGTGGAGCTAGCCTGCCCTGGGCAATCTGTCTCCTGGAGCCTGCGTCCACTTTGCCCACCCCCACCTCCTTCTCCTTAGCGCCCCCTCAGTTTTCTCTGGTTGCAGGCAGATCTTCCCAAGTTTCCTTCTCTCAACACATTTCTTCCTGTTTTGCTCAGAGCATAGAAAGCTTTAAGACCAAGAGAGATGCTTCAGAACAGAGGTTAAAAAGACCTGGGAACTCAAAGCCTGGACTTGAGGGGTGCTCTGGACCAAAAGGTACACTGAATTTATGGCCCCAGAGTGCCCCCAGTCTTAAAGCACCCATTGATAAAAGGCTGACTGCTCTGTGGGGTAGGTGAGGTTTTGGTGGGCTGGCTCAGAAAGCCCTGGCCATCTGTGGTGTGTTTCTGTGGGGAAACATCAACTGCAATACAAATAAGACTTCAGACCACTGCTTACTCATAACCCAGGGGCACTTTCCATTGTACCTGGGATTTCTTCAATGTCTATCAAGTGTCAGTGCAACATTTGCTGAGCTCCAGGTCCCCAGCGAACTTGAAGCTAATGTAAGATGAGAAGGGTGTGTGTCAAAACCCAGCTTCGAGGGAGGGTTTTACAAGGTCACGGCTGCAGGCCATTCCCGGCAATGCTTGTTTAGGGAAAGCCTCAAGTTTGCCGTGTGGAGGATGGGAGGCGAACTGACGCAGATGTGGCAGTGTTATGGGCCAGGCTATGCGGGCAATGACCTAGCAGACTCCATGTCATGTAAGAAACGCTTCTCTCATGGGAACACCCCGCCTCTGTACCCCTCCACAGCTGCTGAGCATAGCATGTTTGGCAACACAAAATTCTTATACACTGCAAAGTGGTTCTCTCTTTGGATCCCACTTTTCTTGAACATTCCCCGTCAGAGAATGACTGTCTAGATGTTAGTAACCCATCTCCAACTTGTACTCAACTAGGGTCATTTTGACCTGCTCCTTCTTCTGCTTATGATTTTAAATCTCATGACATTTGTTCATGGTTTTGAATCGTAGCAGTAGCTACTCACGATTGATGTGGTTTTGAACTATAAATGCTGTACTCCGACCCTTGGAGGAGGTCAAAGGGTGTAGACTTGCAGCCCGCCCCTTGGCCCGCCAGCTGGTTGGTGAATAAAGATGGTTCCATCTCCTGCTTTCAGATCGACTCTGTGGTTTATTGCGACCTCGCCATAACATTTTCTCCTCTCCTGTGGCTCGTGGCTAGGGAACATGGACATGAATCAATCTGATAATGAAAAACAAAATGCCAATTTTTCCAAGTCATACTGAAGGGAAGAAGGTGGCACCCTGAGAGCGTGCATTCCTTGTGGTGGGAGTCCCCTTACCAGGCCATCGCAAAGACCTTCCAGCAGACACACGTGGGATGGGGACCAGAAAAGGGGCGCTGATTCTGTGAAGAAGGGACCAGAGGCTCAGAGTCCACATCTGGGGCTGCGCTTTGAGGAAGAGAAGAAGGTAGTGTTGTGCCTTTAGGAGGAAGAGCACCATCGAACATGGGCTAGAGGAAGTGGTCAGTGTTCAGAGATCACAATACATAGGTCTGGAGTCCGGCCCACTGTTCCTGGCTCCTAACTCCCTCCCCAGGTCGTAGAGACAAGGATTTCTCTTCCCCGAGGGAGGTCATAGAAATTCTTCTCTTCTCCCTGCCCTGGACTTGCCCCCCCCAACCTTCCGACTTACCTTGTCCGAGCAGATCAGAAGACCCCGTCTCATAGGGGTCCTGTCGACACCCGGAGGAAAGATGTACTGCACAAAGAGGCCCAGAGAGTATAGACGGAGCTCGCTTCCCCACAGGAGGGCAGACCCCTCTGTCCCACTACATTTGACACGCTGTCCTGACTTCAGTCATGCCTACATGGTAAAGTCGCTGTGGAAACCCAAGGGACAGGGTCTGGAGGCTCCCGGACAGTGTTTCATTAGGAGGCTCCTGCACAGCGCCGAGCTTCTGCCCAGGGACGGTAGCGGCCACTCACAGGTCTTCCTTGGAGCAACGTCTGTTTAAATCCCTTGGCCCTTTAAACTTTAGGTTTACTTGTCTCCTTATTATTGAGTTTTAAAGTTTTTAAATACGTTCTTGATGCAAGGTCTTACAGCTATCTAATTTGCAAATATTTCCTTCTAGCTCATGGGCTGTTTCTTTCTTTTTCCTTTTTGTACCAGGGATGGAACCCAGCAGCGCTTACCCACTGAGCCACATCTCCAGGCAGCTGCTCATTTTCTATTTTGAAACGGGGCCTCCCTAAGTTACAGAGGCTGGCTTTAAACTTTCCACCCTCCTGCCTCGGCCTCTTAAGCCACTGGGATTACGGGCATGTGCCACCCGGCCTGGCTATTCCCATTTTTATAATATAAGTGAATCAGAGATATTCTTTGTATATGGGCCCTAAGTTGTTTATTTCTTCGTAGCAGGCTGAGACCAGTTAGCCCAAAGTTTGGCAACCCCCAATTTAAATTTTTACATATCCAATTGTTCAGCCCTTGGAGCCTTCCCTGCTTAGCCAGTGACACACACAACACCCTAAACTTTAGAGAAGATCAGCCCAAGTGTTACAAGACCAGAAACTGTGGCTGCCTTTGGGCCCTTGGACCCAGAGACCCCCGTGCTGCTGCCGAGCATCACCCAGATGCTAAGCCACCTGTCCAGTCCTGTCCCTTGGAAGTTCCCTGGCTCTCCTCCCAGCTGGAGGGCGACCCCCCAGAGCCTCAGACAGTATCGGGAGCTGAAGGCCTTCCTCCTGCGTGCCTGTTCAAGCCACACCTGAAGAAGGCTTTGCCTCTCACGGCCTCACCTGCAGTCTCATGGCATAGCTGATTCTTTGATCAGCACAGAAATCTGTGAACTCAGCCTCTCTGATTTTCTTTGAAAAGGTTTATGATTTTAGTGATTGTGTTTAGGTCCGTGATTAATTTTGAGTTAATTTTTGTGTGTGATTTTGAATGGGGTACAATTCATCCTTTTTCATGTGGCCATTTATTTGTCCCAGAACCATTTATTGAGAAGATTATTTTGTCCCCCCATTGAATGGTCTTGACACTTTTGTTGAGAATTAATTCACAAATCATGCATGGGTCTATTCTGGACTCTCTATGCCATTAATTTCTGTTTATACTCAGGCCAGGACTACACCATCTTGATTCATGTAAATCTGTATTAAGTTTTGATATTGATAAGTGTGAATTTTCCACTTTTTGTTCTTTTTAAAGTTTGTTTTTAACTATTTTGAATCTTTTTTTGTGTTCATAGGAATTTTAGAGTCAGTTTGTCAATTTCTGGAATTCGGATGGGAATTGCATTCAATCTGTAGGTAAAGTTAGGGAGTATTGCCATCTTAAAAATATTAAATCTGCTGACCTATGAACATAGGATAGATCTTTATTTAGATCTTTAATTTCTTTCAATGTGTTTTATAATTTTCCATGTACAAATCTTGTGCTTCTTTTATTAAATTTATTCCTAAGTGCCTTTTTTTTTTTTTTTTTTACTATATTTCGCATGGAATTGTTTCCTTAATCCATTTTGGACTGTGCGTTACTAGTGTATAGAAATGCAGTTAATTTTTGTATATTGATTTTGTAGATGAAATTTTGCTGAGTTTGTCTATTAGGTCTAGAAAATTTTTTTGACAGGATTTTCTAAAAGCAAGGTAATGTTTTCTGCAAATAGTTCCACACTTCCTTCTCTGTCTTATGACTTCAACTTACTTATCCTAACTAGCCTGACTGCAAATGTTGGATGAAATGAGACCTCTAGTGAAATGCTGAAGAAATGTCAAGACGGGGGCAGATAGACATTCTTGTTTTTCTCCCCCTGATTTTAGGGAGAAAGTATTCAGTTTTCACCAGTAAGTACAATGTTACCTGTGTTTTGTTTTTTTTCATAGAGTCCTTGCATTAGATTGACGAAATTCTCTTTTGTTCTTACTTTGTAAAGTTTTTCTTATTTTTTAAATCATGAAATGGTATTGGACTTTTTCCAATTTTTCCTGCATCTTGTGGTCATATCCTGTGGCTCTCTCGTGTTCTGTTCATAGGGTGCACTGCATTAGTTGATTTTCAGATGTCAACCAATCTTATATCCCGGGATAAATCCCCCTCAGTCTAGAAGAACTGGTGGATGATCAACGTTAATTCTTCTCTGTGTGTTTGGTAAAATTCACCAGCAAGGCCACCTGGGCCTGGGGTTTTCTTGTGGAAAGACCTGTTTTCCTCTTTGGTGCTGGGAGCTGAACTCAGGCCTGGTGCCTTCTGAGCACATGCTTCTGAGCACCTCGGCTTCTACCTGTGGGAAGCGTCTTACTTACTGTCAATGTCTTTATCTGTAACGTGTTTGTTCCGTTTTTCTATTTCTTCATAAGACCATCTCGGGAAGTTGTGTTCTTCTGGAATTTTCCCCACTAAACCTAAGTTGTCTAGTTTGTTGGAACAGAGTTGCTCACAATGCTCTCACCATCTTTTTACTGTCTGTGGGATTCACAGTAATGTGGTAATGTCCCCTCTTTCATTTCTGACTTCTGTCATCTGCACTTTCCTTTTGACCTTGGTCAGTCTACCCTAAAACATTTGTCAAGATTGCTCTTTATAACTTTCAATTATTGATGTTTTTTTGCACTGTTTTTATTTTCTGCCTCTTTAGCTTCCATTCTGTCATTATTTCCTCCTTCTCCTTGTCTTGGGTTTAATTTGCTCTTCTTTTTTCCGGATCTACTGTTGACGTCATGTGTTATTGATTTAGGATCTTTCTTCTGTTGTAGGACACCATTTAATCTACAGATCTGCCTCACGTCTTGCTTGGGCCGTATCCTCTGACATGGCCAGCTCTGACTGCTGTCCTCTCTCTCACATCCCTAACAATGCACTTCAGTTTGTCTGTTGGGGGATGTCCTTCTGTCTTCCTTTCTGTCTGTCTTTCTTTCTTTTGTTCTTGGTGCTGGGCATTGAACCCAGGGCTTAGCATATGTTAGGCAAGTACTGTACCATTCAGCTGCACCACAGCTCTGCTGGGGAACTGTATTTGAATGAAATCACATTGCATAACATTGTCATAAATATACTTTCCAGGGGCTGGGGCTGTGGCTCAGAGGTAGAGCATTCGCCTTCCATGCATGAGGCACTGGGTTCGATCCTCAGCACCACATAAAAATAAAATAAAGATATTGCAGCAACCTATAACTAAAAAAATTAAAATAAATAAATAAATATACTTGCCAATGTTATGTTTGGTACTGGTACATTTTGTTACAAGTAACCTATATTGGTTTGTTTCTATATTTTTTTCATTATATTCCATGGCACCATATCCTGTTATTGTGTGCATACTTTATTTATGTAATAAATAAACATAGAATCTTATCGTTGATGAACATGTGAGTTATTTCCAATTCACACCTAGTGTACGCACGGCTGTGCTGTGCCTGCATCCTGTACATGTGCCTTGGAGCTGTATGCACGTGTTTCTCTAGGTATAGTGCTCCTGTGTTTTTTGTTCTTCCGTGGGACTCGGTCACACTGCCTTCCTGCTGGTCCTGTATGAGAGTATCCATCTCTTCCCGCCATCGACACTTGATGCTTACAGTTGTTCTAATCTTAGTTATTCTGTGGGTGCAGTGTTATCTTCTTGTTGCTTTAATTTTCATTCTCTGTGATTACTAGGAAGGCTGAGGTCTGTTTAAACATTTATTTACAACTTTCATATTCTCTTGTATGAAGTGGCTCTTCAAATATTTTTTGTCCATTTTTCTCACAGGTTGCCTTTTTTAAAAAAAAATTATTTGTAGAATTTCTTACACATTCTGCACTGAAGTCTTTTGTCCTATGTGCATTGCAAATACTGAATTTTTGTGTCTTATCTTTTCACTCTTTTATAGTATTTTGGAGTGAATATAAGTTACTCATTTAATATAAGCAAAAATATGAATGATTTTCTTTTGAGTAGTACTTTTTATAATATTTTATGGTTAAAAAAAAATCCGCCTTAGCCTAAGATCATGAGGATGTTCCTCTAAATAAACCCCCAAAGCTTCATTGTCTGTCTTTAGATATCAGTCTTCCACCTGCCTGGGAGTGGTCTTTGTCTGTGGAGAAGGAAGGGCTCCCATTTATATTTCCAGCAGGATTCCAGGTTTTCCCTCCCCCAGCCCTCCCTGCCCTGTGACGTCCCACAGCCAGCGCTCCTGCAGGTGTGGGCTGTGGACAGGCCTCCGCTCCGTTCCCTGTGTGTGTCTCCTCTGCCGTGGACCCAGCACTACACGATGCCAATTATTAAAGCCTTACCATAGTTTTCAAGTTCAAATAGGACAAATCTTCCCCTATCCTCTCCTTCAGGAATGTTTTATCTACTCCAGGTACTGTGGTACACACCTGTAATCCCAGTGATTCAGGAGGCTGAGGTAGGAGGACCTCAAATTAGGGGCCAGCCTCAGCAATTTAGCAAGACCCTATCTCAAAATTTAAAAAAAAAAATTAAAGTCTGGGGATATAGCTCAGAGGTAGAATATCCCTGTGTTCATTGTCTAGTACAAAAAAAAGTTTTATTTCATTTTAGCACTTTATGCTTCCAAATAATTTTTAGTGGAAAAGTTTCAAGATGTAAATAAAACAAGCAACAAACTTTCTGTGCATTTGTAGTAAATCCACAAATTAGTTTGAAGTGAATTGACATCTTTATGCTGTTTCTATTCCATGGACTTATTACAACTTTCCACTTACAGATCTATGTGATGTCTTAATTTTTTCAATAGAAAACTTTGCATCTTTTTTCACATTTATTATTAAACATTTTATATTTTATGGTAGTTTAATCATTAATTTCGGGTTTCAGTTTGCTTTTAATTGAGAATAAGCATACATATCATGGGGTACAGTGTGATGTTTTAATACACATATATATAGTGTGTGCACATATATAGTGTGTGTGCATATATATATATGATATATTAAATAATGGTACTTCATACATCCATTAGCTCAAACATTTATCATTTCTTTGTGGGGAGAACATTTAGAATCTTGCAGTCATTTTGAAATATACGCCGTGACATCGTTGACTATAGTCACCCTACATGCTGCACAACA